TAAATGGCATCGAACAAACTCAGCTGGAAATACAGTGCAAGACGTTATGTTCCCGCACCCCCATTCAATCAACCTTCTGCAATTATTTCCATACGTTATACTGATGGATTGCACTTACAAGTCTAACATGTAAAATTTATTTAAATGTGAATTTTAATTTATTTTATTATAATTATGAGTTGATAAAATTATAATTATCTCCATGTAGATATGAAATGCCTCTTTTGAAAATTATTGGGATTACTCCGGTGGGAAGGAACTTCTCTATTGCTTTTGCTTTTATGTCACGTGAAGATGAGGACACTTATGCATGGACTTTGAGATGTTTGCGAAATATATTACCGTCGGAAGCAGAACCGAAAGTGATACTGATAGATCGTGAGTTGGGCCTATGGAAAGCATTGCCTAACGTGTTTCCACAGTCGAATCACATGTTATGTTTATATCACATAAACAGAAACATTGAGGCAAATGCGACGAAGTTCTTGGGCAGTAAAAATTACGGTGTGTTGTTCCGGAGGACGGTCTGGAAAGCGTTAGTGAATTCAGAGACTGATGAAGAGTATGGATTCAATTATGATGAGATGGTGAGTTTGTACGGGGAATATCCCAAGCTGATAACATACGTCAATCACACGTGGTTGATTTACAAGGAGAGATTTGTAAAGTATTCGACTAACAACATCGTCCATTTTGGTAACACGATGACAAACAGGTATACAACATGTTTTTTTTTTTTAATATTTGTTATGTAAAATGTTACATGTATGTATTAATTTATTGTTTTTTGAAATATTACGAGAGTCACAAAGTGTATCAAAAAATTACTTCCCATGGTTAGGAGACTTGACCAACTTTTCAAAAAATTACTTTGATGCGCAAGTTCACCTTCAAATTAATGAATTGAAGGTAAAAAAACGAGAATAGCAGAACAGTCAGAATGTACGGTACTTCATATCCGTGTTTTGGTGCTTTGATATGGAACGTATCAAAGCATATTTAAAAGATTTTTTTTCAACATATTTAAAATACAAAATAGAAAATAGAGTAATTTTTTGACACAGTAAAAATAGAAAATCGAGTAATCGTCCAACACAATCAAAATAGAAAAACGAGTAATCGTCCAAATCAATAAAAATAGAAAAACAAGTAATTGTTCAACGCAATCAACATGGAAAAACGAGTAACAATCATTGCAGTACAGATCAATGAAAATGGAAAACAATAGTTAAAATGGAAAACAAATGTCATAACCATCCTACTGTCTAACCCTCGATCCCCTACCCCTAGTCCTCGGTCCCCCACAACCCCTCCCCCTCTCGGGTACAAGATGGAGATGCTGAGCATGGGGCATCATCAAGTAATTGTGGCTGGATTGACATAAATTGTTCTGTCGCATCAAGCCCATTCTGTCCGTACACGATCGAAAATAGGAGACGAACTATCTCGTTCTCAAACGGCTGATCTGGTGGGGGCGGGCAACAACGGGCTGAACTGAAGCTGACGCTCTTGTGGGGTTGCACAAATACTGGTGCGTACGTTTCACATACCACTTCATATAGTTCGGATGCACTGTTTGATAAGTTAATGAAGTTGGCGTTTTCATTCTCCCACATGCCGCCGGGTGTGTGAAATGTGACCTCGTAACCCTTAGCATACATACCGCGGGGTTGGGGCTTAGCAGATTCAATAATGTGAAACGGGATCGTCTGGACTCTACCATATTGCCGTATAACACGGTCTGTCATGTACGGCTCCACTATCTCCATGAACTGTATAGTGCCGTAATACATACTACGAGGAATCTGGTAATGTGCATCAGCCCCGTATAGTGTCCAGTGAACCTATACAAGTTTGGCACAAGTTAGAAATAACATATTACGAATGCGTGTTCTATCTAAACTACAAACTAACTTACATATCTTTTGACATTTCGTCGAGCATCTTCCGATAATACTGCAATTTCTGCCTCCAACTACCGCCACAGGCCCACTTTCTGCACCGAGGCTCGAACTCTGTATATGTCGGGTAAACCTCTGGTCGAAAGCAAGGGACATACTCAAATATCCAACACTGCAAGAAAAAAAAACCACAGTTCATATTAAAAACACCAAAATTGTACAAAAAAATAAATAAATAAACAAAAAGTTAGAAAATCGTAATATAATTACTAGAAGGAGAATCGGGCACCCACAAAGTCCGTTCATCCCAGCGCGAGTAGCAATACCCAATTGTCTGTACATGTTTGCTAAGCAACCCGCAACCCACGAATACTGGCCGAGTCCGTCGATATCACGCGTATAATGTATCCACCACGTCTTCATCATCGAAGATGTTTTGTCTACAAACAAAACCGACCCCAGTAGAAACATCAGATATCCTTGCATCTTCTTCTCGTCCGTGGCAGATGGCTTGCTCAAGAGCTGTTGCACCTTTGTCCAATTAATTCCTGATACGAACCCCGTAGAACTTGTTACGGGACCCAATAATCTTATACGGAAGCAAGAACGGAACGTCCAAAAATAAAGGATTCGATTGGCGGAATTCGGAATATTGACCCCGTAGCTATAGAGAGCTAGAAACCAATATTATCAAGGTTGAAGTATTGACCCCGTGATTATAATGAATCATAAACCAATACTATATTGCTAAGAATAATTCACAAGAATCCACTCGCAAAATATCCCGAAGAGTTGTTGAAGAACAACGAAGGAGAATTTTAGTCTCTCAAAATAATACTTAAAAACGTCCAAATAATAATGAACCTAAAACAACCTATTTATAAGTGTCAAAGATACCTAACACTAGGCCAAAACACAGTTCTGGCGACGTTAAAATTTGCGACTAAATCCAAATCGTCGCACAGTTGCGACGATTCCTACTGCATTAGTCGCAACAATTTAAATCCCGCTTTTGACTCAAAACCTTTGCGACGTAACTAGAATATCGTCGCCTTTTTGCGTCGAATATTCCCTTAAACGTCGCAAGAAGAAAACAAAATTATTTTCACATATATTTGAGACGAAAAAGCGACAAACGTCGCGCAAAGTAACTTTATTTTTTATTTTTAAATTATATTATAGCGACGAAATAAGGAGAATCGTCGCAAAGAGTTTGAAAATAATATTTTTTTCTTCAATCCCTGCGATGAAATGTACGTCGTCGCAATTAGAATAATTTTTATTTTATTTATTATGTTACCCTGCGACGAATTGTGACTAAACATCGCAACAAAATTGCATTTATTTTTTCCCTTTGCATCGATTGCATAAAACGTCGCATGCAGAATAAATTATTTTCCTTTTATATTTTTTAATAAATATTGCGACGGATATGTATCCGAAACGTCGCAAGAGTTTTCTCTTTCCCAAATTTTCGAGCCTAGGTTGCTACGAATATATAAACGTCGCAATGGAATTAATTTTTTATTATTTTGTTGCGACGATTTATATAGAATCGACGCAATGAATTAATTTAAGATTTATTTTATTTCATTTTCGCGTCGATTTAGTTAAATTCGTCGCATAAGAAGAGAATGGGATAAAAACCTAATTCGTTTCAGCCCAACTCCCCATTCTCTCTCTCTCTCTCTTTCTCTCTCCGACTCTACCGTCGCCGGTGGCGGCGTCGTTCTGCCGGCGCCATTCCACCATCACCGGCCACCAAACTGCCCTATCAATTTGTAATCTATGCCATCAAACTTCCCCCCGTTCTTTCTCTCTCTCTCTCTCCCTCCATCTTTTCCTCACTCTCTCTCTACTGTTAGGGATCTGTTCTGGTGTCATCCTTCCACCTCTGCCGTTGCCTTGCCGCCGCCTCGTCGCCACATTTCCCAGCCGACCTTTCCCCTCGTAGTGAGTGCCTTTAATTTCTGTAATTTTCCTTTAATTTCTCCCCAATTACAAATAAAACAAAGACAAGGTGTATGGATATTTGTGTATGTGTGCTGATTTTGTGTGTATGTGTTGATTTAGTGTGTATGTGTGTGCTGATTTTTTGTGTATGTGTTGATTTAGTGTGTATGTGTGCTGATTTTGGGGTGTATTTGTTGATTAAAACTGGTGTATTTTATAGTTGTCGAATCTGATAATAAAAGAAAAGAAAAAAATTACTCCGTTTCTCCGGCCATGTTGAAGAAGATCTGAATTTTGTTTATTCTCCGGTGAAATTGCTTCTCGTTTGTTATTTTCCCTTCATTAAACCCTCCTCTTGTTTGTTGTTTCTTCTCGGTGAAATCTCCTCTGTTCTTTGTTTCTCCGATAATTTGTCGTCGAATGGTTTCATGTTTTATCGAGTTGCCGCCACCATTTCTCTTGTTATTTTCTATGTTCTTATATTGCCTTCCATTTTTCTCTGTTTTGTATTTGTTTGTCTGAAGCATGAATCCTTTAATTTGTGAATTGAAGAAGCGGCCGTACGGTGAATTAAATTTGGTTTAATATTGTTATAAATTAATCTACATCACTTTGGGCTAACCACTAAATATTGGTAGTTTTTTATTTATATATTTATTATAACTTGCATCAATTTAGTTTCAACATATTAGGTTTAAAGTAGACTTCTTCGACCCCACACCCGGTCATAAATATCGGATGGGTCTTCTGTTGCCATGTGAATTTTTGTATAGTTTATAATATATTCTCTTACTTAGGTTAATCTGAGTGGTTAAGCGTTGACAAAATCTTCTGTTAATTGTCATATATGATGGATCGGAGGGTTTTGTGTTGATTGGCTGGCTTATGCATTTAGTGTATTAGTTTCGGTGACGAACATTTTCAATGAAAAATTCTCCTTTCGTTCTGTTTGTTTGTGATGTATTAGAGCGATTAATATTTGATTGTCTGTCGGGGAAATCGAAGTTTCTGTTCTTCTATTCATTCATTTTTCTTTTGGCCGTCTTGAGAACTTAATGATGACTACGTTCATGTTTTCGTTTGAATCGTTATTTGATAATGCACTTATGAACAACTCTCTTAATTTTGTTGACTTGTTGAATGAAGGCACTCATTGCTTTGAAGAAAGGAACACAGCTAACCAAGTATAGCTGGAAAGGGAAGCGCAAGTTTTGTACATTTAGACTTTCTCGAGTAAGAAATTATCCTTTCCCTCACCTTTACCACGACAAAGTTTTTCTGTATTCATTTAACTTTGCTGTCGCATGTTAACGCAAATTTATATGATGCAACTTATCTCTTCCTTCCGATTTTTATGCGTTCTAAAGAGTAGAAGACAATCTACATTTCCATTTATTGAAAATACTTATTAAATATTGAATAATTATTTTTAGCAATTGATTTACAAATAAATTATTAATTATGTAAAACTGATTATATGATTATTATGTTAATAAAAGAAATATTTAAAGAGGGAGAGATAATTTTTGTAATTTGTGTGCGTGGTTCCGTTAAATTTCTTCTTATTTTGGAAAAGTGGTAAAGGGCAGTATTGGGAGTTCGGAAAATTTCTTCTCATTTCGATGATTTTTATTCTATATTAATTAATGCATTCTACGTGATAAAAACAATATTTTGAATAACTGAAATATTTGTCATGCTATGTTTTACCAGCATCAGTAAGACTATTTACTTACTACAAAATGGCAAAGGATAGGAGTTGGGTTTTGATAGATGATCATCGATTAGATGCATTTCAAAAGGGTTGTGAAGAATTTTTGGATTTTGCTTTTAATAAGGCAGCGATTGATAATAAAATACGATGTCCATGTCGAGATTGTGAGTGTAGAAAAATTAGGGATCGGGAATTTGTCCATGGACATTTACTTTGGAGGGGTTGGGATAAATCTTATGGTTTAGGCCAATGCGTAATGCACCTAGAGTCTGAGGAAGAATATCGTCTCGGGCATCAGGTTTGTGAAACAAATGAAGTTGCTGATTTTAGAATTTCTGAAGTTGAAGAGGTGAATGAAACTGATGGTGGTGCGAGCGGTCGTGAGAACATGGAAGAATTGTTGCAAGCATGTATTCATCATGATCAACACGAATCATTGGAAGAATCCACACCGGAAGTTGATGATTTTCGTAAACTCATTGAAGAGTGGTGTATCCCTCTATATGATGGATGCCAATAAAATTCTAAACTTTCATTCGTGATGGAATTCTACAAAATTAAATCTCGAGGCAAGATGAGCGACAAGACGTTTTCAGACACACTCCAACTGTGACGCCCACTACCGAAATACACTGTACTTTTTTTTTATTTTTTATAAATGAATACAATGACTACGAATCAATACAACAACTTCAACTTAAGTCATTATTACTAAAATAAAATACAAATGGGCAACCAAAGTCCACAACTACAATCTCGTAAAAATATCTCTTGAACAACAATCATCTTTGAATAGAACCAGTATACAAATAAACTCTATAAAACTTCCAAGTAACTTTACTCCTAAGTGCAGTCAACACAATCGTCCACTTATAGTACCTGCTACTGAGAATAAGAGGGAAAACAAAGGACGAGTAAGTCCAAGTGGACTTAGTGAGGAGTACAAGGGAAAAACAGTCGAATCAAATAATAATCACAATATAGGTGTTCAACTCGGAATTGGACCATCTAGTGAAGGATCGATCGATAAGGAACAATAGGACAAAGTACAAGGCACAACAATATGATCATAATAAACAATAGAATCAATATGTACGGGTAGAGAACAATGTTCAACGGGTAATCCCCGTATATCATTTATGAATTTCGTGGAGATTCCCACGATAACAATTTCGGATATCAAATATGAGACCATGGAGATTCCCATGGTAACAATTTGTTCATGTACATGTACCTGTACCTGCCTTGTGACTCCCTTAGTCGTTACTACCTTATAACCCCGATCAGGGAGCTACCCTGCTAATTGATCAATAGGCATGCCCGGACGCATGCCGATCCATCCATCAGCACAGTTAACCTCCAACTATGCCAATGGTCTAGATCCAATATGGGTACTGTTGAAGAGACCATCCACCGTCGGCTCAATACCGCCCAACAGTCTTTTTCGAACAGCCCCGGGCCCAACTGGTCAATTATCCTTGGGGCATCCCCAAAGGAATCAATAATATAGAGATACGGATATGCTTCCGACTATCTCAATTTACATTTTGAATCCCAATAATGAATTCCACTTTAGAAAGAACCAATATCACAGTTCAACGATTGTGGGATTCCAATAAAAAGTGATAATATCTCGTGGTCACAAAATCACAAGTCAAGAAGGGTACGATCAATGGTTTCAATAAGAGAGTGACCACAATTCAAGATCGTATAACAATTGATGAAGATGGATCTCAATCAACAATAGCCTACGGTTAAAATTGAATCCGTAGTTGTATAGCTCGAAAGACAAGTGGTTTCAAAGGATCAATGAGAAGTCAAGATGTGAATGATCCATCAATTCACAGTAGGTACGAAACGAATGATTTAACGGATAAACACAATAATCCTAAATGGTCCAGGAGTCGTGTGCAAAATGTGCAAACCACAAGGAGGTTCAGTGCTATTTTACCTTATAAATAAAGAAGAAGTGGTTCCAACTAGTATACAAGTAAAGATGTGAAACAATTCCGAATTGATAGAGAAACGAATTGAAACTCGTTGAATTATTCAAGTCAATAAAAGAACTCAATTGAGTAATCAAGGAATCGGGATGAGAAATTACTCGAATAATTCGTGAATCACGATGAGAACTTATTAAGTTCCATGAAGAGGATTTCGAATCGATCAAAGATTTCAATAGCTCAAGAATTAATAATTCTCGAAAATCAAATTAGTTCACAAGATAGGTGACAATAAATATATATTGAATTTAAACGACGAGTAATAACAATAATAAACCAAACGAGACGAGTGCTCGGCATATATTTTGTTTTTCCAGAAAGAATAGACAAGGGATAGAGATCCTCACCTGAAGTCCAATGCAAGTGTTATAAAAACACCTTACTCTCGAGTCATGCTCAAGTCTTGAATGAAAACCTTAGTACGCTCGATACCTATAAAAATATTCATCACTTAACAACATTCTAAATGCTAATATAACCGTATTATTCCACTATATCACATACTCAATTTCTTGAAATATTTATTAAGAATGTCTTGCTGCCACAGCTTATTCGAACAATCGTTACGATCACCTTACTTATCCGAATAACCTAAACAATATATCGAATTAAAGCTAACATGTGTGTCTAAAGTTTTACTGAAGACCCTGAGCCCAAATTATCGACCTAACACAGCAATAACAGCCCCGGAAGATGAGTACATGAAACTGCCAGGTTTTTGGAAAAGTCGTTGTTGGCACAGTTTGTTTGAAAAATCATAACAATTAGCACGCTAATCCAAATTGATCACATGATACGTCAAATGAAAGCTAACAGAAAATACTACGAGTTCACAGAAGTCTCTGATCACAAATTATGATCCCAACATATTCAAAACAGCCCCGTAAAACGAATACTCAAAACTGCCCTGTTTTGACAGATTTACCGTCACTTAATTCGGACCTCTAATCAGCTTCAAAAAATACTCTAAATCGATACAATTTTACACTTACCAATAGTTTTCGAGGTCCTCTACAAGTTTTGTGAAGGAATGATTCCCAAATTCTCAATCCCGTTCCTTCGATTTTGGCTCCGAAAACAGGTGCGGCAGCAGATTTTGTTTTCCCTACAGTTTCAGTGAGCAGCTGGACTTCTCGTCAAATTCCGGCAACCACCGCTGATTAATACTACCGAGCTTCAACACCAATGGAAGGCTAACATCTCAAGGTTTCTAACCGTGTGTCCTGGTCGTCGAGATTCACCCTCTAAGGCCTCCGTTCAATTAAACCTTTGAAGAGCCAAAGGCTGGAATTCGATTTCTGGACAGCTAGTCGTCTTCTTCGCCCGATTCCGGCGATCATCTGATGTAACCACCGCTGGAGGCCACCACCACTGGAAAGCTTACTTCCCAAGCTTTCCAACGATATGACTTGATCGTCATAACCCCTCGTTCACACATGCCTAATTTTGTCGATAATTGAATTGGGGATTTCCAATTCCAACCTCAAACTTGTTCATATACCGCACTCCTTCATACCTCTTCTTCAATTCGATTTCTCTAATTAATTTGTGTGATTCCAGCCAAGAATCGAGAGAGAGGAAGAGCGATGATGAGAGAGAGAGCAAGAAAGAAATAGAGAGAGTGAAGATGAGAGACGATGAGGAGGTATTTATCGGGGATTACCAAGTCATAAACTGGATTGCCAAGTTTATAAAATTATTATTACACTTATCTCCCAATTTTTCTATTAATAACACATCAGCCCCAAAGTTCTTTATTTACTCTTATAATTCAATGAACTTCAATAATATACATATCTATATAATTACATAATATCATTTATTATATAACATATGCATAAATTAAATTACGGGTGTTACACCAACTAATTGAAAAAATTCCTGGTCTAAATATTCCCGACTCTTTTTATGAAGTTAAGAAGTTGATTGGGAAATTGGGGTGTGGTTATGTGAAAATTGATGCATGTGAGAAATGGTTGCATGTTGTTCTGGAAGGATGATACAGACTTAGATTCATGTAGAGTCTGCAATGCTTCACGATGGAAGACTTCCATGGAGAACCAGCCGAGCTCTTCAACCACTCGCCGCAAAAGAGTACCCAAAAAGGTTTTGCGACACTTCCCCTTGATTCCGAGGCTTAAGCGTTTATTTATATGTGAGAGAACATCCATTAACATAAGATGGCATGTGGAGACTCGATGTGACGATGGAGTTCTCAGGCATCCTGCTGATTCCGATGCGTGGAAAGAGTTCGATAAGAAACATGAGTCATTTTCTTTGGAATCCCGAAACATAAGGCTAGATTTGGCTACAGATGGTTTCAATCCATTTGGATCATTAAGCAACAAGTATAGCACGTGGCCTGTCATTCTAATGATTTACAATTTGCCACCAAATTTGTGCATGCAACGTTCTCATATGATGATGTCATTGCTTATTTCTGGTCCCAAGGGACCTAAAAATGGCATTGGTGTTTATTTGCAACCATTGATAGATGAGTTGAAGGAGTTGTGGATTTCTGGAATTCAAACTTTTGATATGTCCACCAAACAGTACTTTAATATGCGAAATAACGAAATAAACTAAATCTAGTCCAAATCGGACTCTAAATATCAAGAAATAAATTGTCCAA